GCTTCATTTTTATCATCTGACACTAACTTCATTTTTATCGTCTGACACTAGCTTTATTTCTATCATCTGACACTAGCTTCATTTCTATCATCTGACACTAGCTTCATTTTTATCATCTGACACTAACTTCATTTCTATCATCTGACATTAGCTTCATTTCTATCATCTGACACTAGCTTCATTTTTATCATCTGACACTAGCTTCATTTTTAACATCTGACATTAGCTTCATATCTATCATCTGACACTAGCTTTATTTCTATCATCTGACATTAGCTTCATTTTTATCATCTGACACTAGCTTCATTTTTAACATCTGACATTAGCTTCATATCTATCATCTGACACTAGCTTTATTTCTATCATCTGACATTAGCTTCATTTCTATCATCTGACACTAGCTTCATTTTTATCAGCTGACACTAACTTCATTTCTATCATCTGACACTAGCTTCATTTTTATCCTTTGACACTAGCTTCATTTTTATCCTCTGACACTAGCTTCATTTCTATCATCTGACACTAGCTTCATTTCTATCATCTGACACTAGCTTCATTTTTATCATCTGACATTAGCTTCATTTCTATCATCTGACACTAGCTTCATTTTTATCATCTGACATTAGCTTCATATCTATCATCTGACACTAGCTTTATTTCTATCATCTGACATTAGCTTCATTTTTATCATCTGACACTAGCTTCATTTTTAACATCTGACATTAGCTTCATATCTATCATCTGACACTAGCTTAATTTTTAACATCTGACATTAGCTTCATATCTATCATCTGACACTAGCTTTATTTCTATCATCTGACATTAGCTTCATTTCTATCATCTGACACTAGCTTCATTTTTATCAGCTGACACTAACTTCATTTCTATCACCTGACACTAACTTCATTTCTATCATCTGACACTAGCTTCATTTTTATCCTTTGACACTAGCTTCATTTTTATCCTCTGACACTAGCTTCATTTCTATCATCTGACACTAGCTTCATTTTTATCATCTGACATTAGCTTCATTTCTATCATCTGACACTAGCTTCATTTTTATCCTCTGACACTAGCTTCATTTCTATCATCTGACACTAGCTTCATTTTTATCATCTGACATTAGCTTCATTTCTATCATCTGACACTAGCTTCATTTCTATCCTCTGACACTAGCTTTATTTTTATCATCTGACACTAGTTTCCTTTCTATCATCTGACACGAGCTTCATTTTCATCATCTGACACTAACTTCATTTCTATCATCTGACATTAGCTTCATTTCTATCATCTGTCACAAGCTTCATTTTTATCATCTGACACTAGCTTCATTTTTATCATCTGACACTAGTTTCCTTTCTATCATCTGACACGAGCTTCATTTTCATCATCTGACACTAACTTCATTTCTATCATCTGACATTAGCTTCATTTCTATCATCTGTCACAAGCTTCATTTCTATCATCTGACACTAGCTTCATTTTTATCCTCTGACACTAACTTCATTTCTATCATCTGACACTAGCTTCATTTCTATCATCTGACACTAGCTTCATTTCTATCATCTGACACTAGCTTCATTTCTATCATCTGACACTAGCTTCATTTTTATCCTCTGACACTAACTTCATTTCTATCATCTGACACTAGCTTCATTTCTATCATCTGACACTAGCTTCATTTTTATCATCTGACACTAGCTTCATTTCTATCATCTGACATTAGCTTTATTTCTATCATCTGACACTAGCTTTATTTCTATCATCTGACATTAGCTTCATTTCTATCATCTGTCACAAGCTTCATTTCTATCATCTGACACTAGCTTCATTTCTATCATCTGACACTAGCTTTATTTCTATCATCTGACACTAGCTTCATTTCTATCCTCTGACACTAACTTCATTTCTATCATCTAACACTAGCTTCATTTCTATCATCTGACATTAGCTTTATTTCTATCATCTGACACTAGCTTTATTTCTATCATCTGACATTAGCTTCATTTCTATCATCTGTCACAAGCTTCATTTCTATCATCTGACACTAGCTTCATTTCTATCATCTGACACTAGCTTTATTTCTATCATCTGACACTAGCTTCATTTCTATCATCTGACACTAGCTTCATTTCTATCATCTGACACTAGCTTCATTTTTATCATCTGACACTAGCTTCATTTCTATCATCTGACACTAGCTTCATTTCTATCATCTGACACTAACTTCATTTCTATCATCTGTCACTAACTTCATTTCTATCATCTGACATTAGCTTTATTTCTATCATCTGACATTAGCTTTATTTCTATCATCTGACATTAGCTTCATTTTTATCATCTGACACTAGCTTCATTTTTATCATCTGACATTAGCTTTATTTCTATCATCTGACATTAGCTTCATTTTTATCATCTGACACTAGCTTCATTTTTATCATCTGTCACTAGCTTCATTTCTATCATCTGACATTAGCTTTATTTCTATCATCTGACATTAGCTTTATTTCTATCATCTGACATTAGCTTCATTTTTATCATCTGACACTAGCTTCATTTTTATCATCTGACACTAGTTTCATTTCTATCATCTGACACTAGCTTCATTTCTTGTGTGTGTGTGTGTGTGTGTGTGTGTGTGTGTGTGTGTGTGTGTGTGTGTGTGTGTGTGTGTGTGTGTGTGTGTGAACTGTGGAAATTGTATGGTACAGTTTATATTGAAATCTGTATATTAATTACCTTATTTGCATAATTAAATCAATTTTAAGCTTTCACACTGATATCTACAGTACTAATTATTTAATTTCAATGAAACTTAGTACGTAGATGCTCTAGGTCAATGTGCAAACCTGATTAGTTTTGGGTTAAATTCTATTATTTCCATAATTAGCATAATGAATTATCATTTTTTGGTTCTAATCACATTTCAATGAAACTTGGTACATAGATGGTCTGTTACATTGTCGCTTGTCTCCAATACTCTCAGCACACAGGAGTTCTTTCTAAGCCTTCTTTGATTAAATACTGTATTTTCTCTATTATAAGCAGAAGTGCTTACTGTTAATATAAATGACAAAGACAAGTTTATGGTCAAAATAATGATTCAATGATTTCGCTTTATGTGTATTGAAGATTTGTTTTTATACAGTACACTGAAGCTTTCTTTGATTATCATCTGACACGAGCTTCATTTTTATGGGTTGTGAATTACATAATGTGTCATGCAAAATCTAGCACAGTGAACACTGTTGCCCTAATGCAATGACTGGTATAAACTGTACACAAACTTGCCGTAATATCACCCTATCATGTTGGCCAATTTATTTTCACCAATTGATGACTTACAATACCATACTTTATCTCCAGACTTTATATCGGTGTGAGCTGAAATAATGCATTGTGACCAGGATTTCTTGTGGATAGATATTTCTTGCTTTTGCATAAAATGCCTTAAAATAATGGCTATTTCATCAGAAAAAAGAAATTCAAACGTTGGGTTTTTGTTTTTCTTGATAAATTTAAAATAATGGAATCTATTGAAAATACAATCATGTCAAAATGGCAAAAAATCGTCAATAATCGTTTGTTTGTAAACAAAGTTTGAACGATATTGACTTCATCGACTCGCTTCAAAAAATTTTCACTTTGCATGTGTTGTCTACCTTGTCGTTGCTCTCTCGCCTGTAGCTAATGCTATCTAAGTAATTTTCAGTGAAACTTGCAAGTTACGTTTTTGGCAAGTAGTTTATGAATTCCTCAGTTTGTGAAGGAAATCCTGCTCAGATAGCCCTCGTACATCATACTAGTACTCAGCCATGTTTAACAAAATAGCGTGAATTAATACAACACAATTTATAGGTCAAAGATAATTCTTTATTTAATTAATTCAAACATAAAATATATATAATGATATATTCATTATATTTTCATCCCAAAATTTCCCAAATATTTATATGCACTCCCCGTTCTTTGTTGTCGTATTAAACTGGTATTCATATTCTGGGGCCTTAAATAACAGTGCATTATGCTCTACTAACCATTACTTGCAGCATCACAACAATGTATTTATGGAATTCTTATACAGATAAAATATAATTACATTTAACAGATGGTAAAGATATTGAAATACCATCAGTATTTGTGGGTGAGACTACTGGAAATGACCTCTTGAAGTTTTATACACACGATAAAGGGTAAGCAAATATTTCTCTACTGTTATTTTCTAGAATTTTAATATTTGTAGTTTGTAGAATATAATGA